ATGAGGAAGTGTCGGGGGGAACAAAAACGAAGGAGAATCTGGGAAGCTCGGGAAATAGAGAATCCAATTGGAGATAACATGATTCCAGACAAGCCAAAAAATGGGGAGGAGGCGGGCTACGTTTCTTAGGCCCGCTGAAGCATCTGAGACAGAGGGGAGGTTCGAGTATGTGGATGATGTTGGTGTTCTGGAAGAAGCATGTTTTTTATTTCTTGCGTTTCTGTTTTTTAATTGTTTGAAGCATACTGATTACTTTAGTCTTTGTATTTTATTTTTTTGTAAGATAGTAGATTTGGATTTGGGTGAACGGGGGGGGGGGGGGGGGGGTCTGCTTTAACCGTCTTTGGCTCATTTGCGCCCAGTAATAAATCAACGAATTATATTGCTTCTCTAGATGTGGTTAACTCTGAGTCTGGTTCGAGAGTCGGCGGTTGACAGTGATCTTTTTGTCGATTTACCCATAATCTGAGTGATATCATTTTAAGCCTATTTCTTCCAAAAAAAATGTTGTCGCACTATAACTATTTTTCATAATTTTCACGTTTGAGGTTAATTTTATACCCTTTCTCTACCATTAGAAATTTCAAGTTGAAAATTACCTTATTAAACTTCAACTTTAATTTATCCGCAATAATAGCAATAATAATGACAATAATAGCAGTAATTATGATAATTATATTGCTCTTATCATAATCTTTATATATTATTATTATTATTATTATTATTATTATTATTATTACTATTATTATTACTATTATTATTACTATTATTATTACTATTATTATTACTATTATTATTACTATTATTATTACTATTATTATTACTATTATTATTACTATTATTATTACTATTATTATTACTATTATTATTACTATTATTATTACTATTATTATTACTATTATTATTACTATTATTATTACTATTATTATTACTATTATTATTACTATTATTATTACTATTATTATTACTATTATTATTACTATTATTATTACTATTATTATTATTATTAGCATTATTATTATCATTATTATTATCATTATTATTATCATTATTATTATCATTATCGTTATCATTATCGTTATTGTTATTATTGTTATTATTGTTATTATTGTTATTATTGTTATTATCATTATCGTTATCATTATCGTTATTATTATCGTTATTATTATCATTATTATTATCATTATTATTATCATTATTATTATCATTATTATTATCATTATCGTTATCATTATCGTTATTGTTATTATTGTTATTATTGTTATTATTGTTATTATTGTTATTATTGTTATTATTATCATTATTATCATTATTATCATTATTATGATTATTATAATTATTATCATTATTATCATTATTATCATTATTATGATTATTATGATTATTATGATTATTATGATTATTATGATTATTATGATTATTATGATTATTATGATTATGATGATTATGATGATTATGATGATTATGATGATTATGATTATTATGATTATTTATGATTATTATGATTATTATGATTATTATTATTATTATTATTATTATTATTATTATTATTATTATTATTATTATTATTATTATTATTATTATTATTATTATTATTATTATTATTATTATTATTATTATTATTATTATTATTATTATTATTATATTATTATTATTATTATTATTATTATTATTATTATTATTATTATTATTATTATTATTATTATTATTATTATTATATTATTATTATTATTATTATTATTATTATTATTATTATTATTATTATATTATTATTATTATTATTATTATTATTATTATTATTATTATTATTATTATTATATATTAATTATTATTATTATTATTATTATTATTATTATTATTATTATTATTATTATATTATTATTATTATTATTATTATTATTATTATTATTATTATTATTATTATTATTATTATTATTATTATTATTATTATTATTATTATTATTATTATTATTATTATTATTATTATTATTATTATTATTATTATTATTATTATTATTATTATTATTATTATTATTATTATTATTATTATTATTATTATTATTATTATTATTATTATTATTATTATTATTATTATTATTATTATTATTATTATTATTATTATTATTATTATTATTATTATTATTATTATTATTATTATTATTATTATTATTATTATTATTATTATTATTATTATTATTATTATTATTATTATTATTATTATTATTATTATTATTATTATTATTATTATTATTATTATTATTATTATTATTATTATTATTATTATTATTATTATATTATTTTATTATTATTATTATTATTATTATTATTATTATTATTATTATTATTATTATTATTATTATTATTATTATTATTATTATTATTATTATTATTATTATTATTATTATTATTATTATTATTATATTATTATTATTATTATTATTATTATTATTATTATTATTATTATTATTATTATTATTATTATTATTATTATTATTATTATTATTATTATTATTATTATTATTATTATTATTATTATTATTATTATTATTATTATTATTATTATTATTATTATTATTATTATTATTATTATTATTATTATTATTATTATTATTATATTATTATTTATTATTATTATTATTATTATTATTATTATTATTATTATTATTATATTATTATTATTATTATTATTATTATTATTATTATTATTATTATTATTATTATTATTATTATTATTATTATTATTATTATTATTATTATTATTATTATTATTATTATTATTATTATTATTATTATTATTATTATTATTATTATTATTATTATTATTATTATTATTATTATTATTATTATTATTATTATTATTATTATTATTATTATTATTATTATTATTATTATTATTATTATTATTATTATTATTATTATTATTATTATTATTATTATTATTATTATTATTATTATTATTATTATTATTATTATTATTATTATTATTATTATTATTATTATTATTATTATTATTATTATTATTATTATTATTATTATTATTATTATTATTATTATTATTATTTATTATTATTATTATTATTATTATTATTATTATTATTATTATTATTATTATTATTATTATTATTATTATTATTATTATTATTATTATTATTATTATTATTATTATTATTATTATTATTATTATTATTATTATTATTATTATTATTATTATTATTATTATTATTATTATTATTATTATTATTATTATTATTATTATTATTATTATTATTATTATTATTATTATTATTATTATTATTATTATTATTATTATTATTATTATTATTATTATTATTATTATTATTATTATTATTATTATTATTATTATTATTATTATTATTATTATTATTATTATTATTATTATTATTATTATTATTATTATTATTATTATTATTATTATTATTATTATTATTATTATTATTATTATTATTATTATTATTATTATTATTATTATTATTATTATTATTATTATTATTATTATTATTATTATTATTATTATTATTATTATTATTATTATTATTATTATATTATTATTATTATTATTATTATTATTATTATTATTATTTATTATTATTATTATTATTATTATTATTATTATTATTATTATTATTATTATTATTATTATTATTATTATTATTATTATTATTTATTACTCCCTCCGTCCCCTTTTAAATGTCTCGTTTTACCATATTGGGATGTCCCTATTTAATTGCCCCATACCTTATTTGGTAAACTTTGTGTGGCTCAAAAATCATTCTTACTTTATTCTTACTTTATCAATTAATATCAACCACACAAACTCCACTTTTCTTAAAACCCGTGCACCATCTCCCGTCCCATTTAAAAGGGGACGGAGGGAGTAATATTTTTCCTTCCGTCTCTTTGAACACTATCTTCTTTAATTTGAGTGTACATTAAGAAAAAGAAAAATTTAGAACTGAGTTTTGTGGAGAAAAGAGAAAAAAGGAAAGACCCAACGAGATAAATATATTTATATTATTATTATTATTATTATTATTATTATTATTATTATTAATTTAGGGAGTATATTCCTATTGTTATGATTTTTTCTCTTATTATTATTGTCATTATTACCATTATTATCATTATTCATTATCATTATTATCATTATTGTCATTATTATTATATAATTATGGAGCACTCCCTCCGTTCTTTATTAACCGTATCGGATTCTTTTTGGGACGTTTTTAATTATTTGTCTCTCTTTTTTTATTTGTTAAATTTTTTCAATCACAATACATTTATACCTCACTTATGTTACCCTTACGACCTTACCCCTTCTCTTTTCTACTTTATCACCTAAACACCTTTTACATTATCCTTATTACGGAGTACTTCCTCCGTTCTTTTTTAGATGCAAACGGTCAACATTTCACACTTGTCAACGCACGTCTTTGACTGTAATTATATCTTAATCTCTATTAGTAAAAAATAATTAAAAATTAAATTTTGAAAATTTGTAATGAGATGAATTGAACAATATTTTTAAAAAAAAAAGTAATTTTCATAAAATAATGTCGTAAAATATAGTCAAAGTAGAACGGAGGATAATTTAAAATAATATTTCGAAAGTCTAAGGGAGTCATATACTCTTTTTTTTTTGAACGTCATAGTCATATACTCTTATATACTAAGGGAGTGTTTGGATCTGATTCTCAAAACTGATTCTGCTTCTTTAGGGAGCAGAAGCAGAAGCTGGAGTGTTTGGGTGAAATTCCAGAAACACTTCTGATGCTCTAAATTACTTCCAGAATCAGTTTTTTTTAGAAGCTGGGGAGTACCAGCTTCTGAAAACTGATTCTAATTCTGCTTCTTCTTTAAAAAAAAAAAAAGCAGAAGAAGAATTAGTTCCAAACACCCCTAAGTAGTAGTACGTAATAGAGAGTAATAATTAAAATTATTATTACTCCGTAATATTATTATAATTATTATTTCCCACCATATTTTATCATCAATCCACCTTCCATGTTTCAGCAACTGTTCTCTTTTTTGTCAAAGGAGTCTTTCTTCTTCTTCCCTCTTCCAAGTGTTGAACGACGGAGAATCTGAGAGTCTCAGCTGAGGAAGGGAAAGTCGAGTTTAAGCATGGGTATCCGAAAAACATCAGGCGAGGGCGGTGGAGGGGTTGATTCTCTGAGCGAAAGAGCAGCTATGATGAGGGAGGCAGTGCAGAAGAGTCAGTCCATCACAGATAACATAGTTTCCATCTTGGGTTCTTTCGATCATCGCCTCTCGGCCCTTGAAACTGCCATGCGCCCCACTCAGGTCTGACTTTTCTTTATTGGGTTCTTTGATCTTTCCTTCTAAGCCTTTGCTTTTGATCTGCATTTCCACCCATTTGTTTTCCTGTTTGTTTGTTTGGGAAGTGTGTAAACTTGAAAATGAAATAGAGAAGAAGTTTCTTTTTGGGAAAGTTGAAAAATTAGAGTTCTGAAACTTGGATCTGCTTCTGGTGCTCTGTTTGGTAACAAAACCAACAACCAAGAATAAAATATTACTTAAGTATCAACTTTTGTTTAGTTATGGTTTGAGATTTCTAGAGTAAACTCCTAGATTTGATTAGGACAAGACATGTATACCAATCAAAACAGAGCATACTCTGTTGGTTTTAAGTGTTTATTTGTGTTATCATCCTCTGAACTTTGGAGTCACCTGTTGGAATCTTGAATGTGGTCCAGTATTCAGTATCTGCATATAGAAAACTCAATATTATGTAAAGTTGTGTAATGTAATCCAATATAGTGATTTTGACCATGTCATAGCAACATTTCTGGTAACTGAAATTATAGTAGCAGTCATTCAGATATGCCCTGTTCTTTGATTTGATAACTGGAAGTGGAAATGCATTGTGCCTATTCTAGATCAGGACACATTCTATACGGAGAGCTCATGAGAACATTGACAAGACCTTGAAGGCTGCCGATGTAATTTTGAGCCAGTTTGATCTTTATCGACAGGTTTGCTTTACTACCATCATCACACCCTCATTCTTTCTGGTGTGGTTTTTTGTTTATTGGCATGAGGTGATGATATACATTGCGTCTGTGTGTATTTTCCCTTTCAATCTATATACAATATGAGGTGACTTTAGCACCAAGTTTTTTGTTTAAGGTGCTCGATAGCTACTTTAAGTTTTACAAAATGGTTTGCAATATAATTTGTATTGTAATCAGCTAATCATTAGTTTCACCTATCAAATCGTATAAATTCTGAAGCTAGTAAAAACAACATTAGCAGTATGTCATATTGAAATGTATATAGCTCATAGCTCCATTTATAGGATATAACAATTTGATCAAGAGCCAAAGACTCCGATTGAACAGTTTCAAGTAGGACTAAACCATCCTCAGGTGGGGTTAAACAAGGCTTTATTTTGGATTTTTTTACCCGTATTATTCCTTAATGAAAATGTGCAAATCCTTATATGAGGGGAGTATACAAAGCCCAATTGAGTACTAATAGTATTATTTACTCCTCCAGTCCTTCCTCTGTCGCATGATGTTCTTTCCATTTTGGTGTATTCCAAAAATGTCTGTCTCGTATAATATTGGGCCATCTTTGTATGGTTCAAAATAATGCATAATTTACAAATTCATTATCAGCAACATAGTTATATTCTTCGTTAATTTACGTTCCACTATTAAGATATTCTGATTAAATATCTTTCCTAGTTAGTAACAATACATTGTTTTTTAGTTCTCGCCCTTCCCTGTGTGCTTTAATTCCTCTTATCTAAGTGTAATGTGTGATTTCCTTAATGGTCATGCTGACATGGTTTCTGATTTAACATCATTTGTATTGTAGGCAGAAGCTAAAATACTAAAAGGGCCACACGAAGATCTGGAAAGCTATCTTAAGGCAATTGAACATTTAAGAGGCAATATTAAGTTTTTCAGCAACAACAAAAGCTTTAAGAGTAGTGACGGAGTGCTCAACCATTCAAATACTTTACTTGCCAAAGCTATTTCCAAGCTTGAAGAGGAACTTAAGCATATCTTATCATCTTACAGGTTTGTTTAAATAGTCTGTGTTATCTTGCTTATACTTAGTTCAAGTCAATCCTGTCCAATTTGCCTTTAGAAACCATTCTATTCTTATCTATAATAATGTGTAGAGTACTAGAGTTAGTACCTGATTTACTCCTACCTATACACTATTACTGATTTTGGTCCTAGACTTTCTATTGGACTCAATATGGACCTTGATTATGCTATGACAGCTATGTAGATTCAATTTAGTCATCATCCATCTTTTGCTCTAATTAAGAACTTTATATTTGTATGCTGATGAATAATTTGGGTCCAAATTACATAATTGAGGAACAAATTGAGTCTCACAGTGAGTATCATTCCATTGCACAAGTGTCCTTATGAACTAATTTGGCTTCTCTAAATACCATCGGGAAGGACCGAAGTGAGTCCCAAAAAGGGATAACGGCCAACTTGAATTAGTGTGCATATTGGAGGAACTAAATTAGGTCTTAACTCTAACATATATTATCACTAGTTGAAGTAAATGTGCAGAGGAGGGGCACACTAGGAAAATGTGCATATTATCACTAATAGTGTGCATATATTCCTAGTGTTGCAGAAGGCTCCGGCCTGGCATAGTAGCCCCCCCCCCCCCCCCCCCCCCCCCCCGAAATAAGACAAATAGACAACAACAACAACAACATTACCCCAGTGCCGCAAAGGCTCCCACCTACGGGGGTAGGGGGGTCAGATGTACGCGACCTTACCCCTGTACCAAAGCATAGAGAGATGGTTTCCGGATGAGCGGTGATGAAAATCATGTCGAAATTTGCATGAACTGGTTGTTTTTTCATTACAAAGACGCGCAGACAGTGTAGTGAGCCATTTTGCATTATTCCATCATATTCCCAAGCCAAAAAACAGTGAGGCTTTGGCTGATTGGCTCCATTCAAAATAAGATAAATAGACAATTTTGAAAAAAAACTTATTTTTTTCAAAGTTAAATATCTGACTAGATAACCTGATTTTTGTTTACATTTAGTGTTATAAACACTACTGTGTTGAGAGAATTGATTCCAGGTCAATTAACATGACCTTAATTCCTCAAACATAAGAGGATTACAAATCAAAAGAGGTACAATGGTGAGAACGGAGAATAAAAATCAACGCAATAAACCGTTGCCCAGAATAATCAACGATAGAAACCGTTGCCCAGAGCCAAAAGGCTAAACTCCAATTTTATTCATAGATAAGTAAGAATGAATCCTAACAAGGGGTTTTAATACCCATTTGCTAATTCCCAAACTAGGAAATAAAATGATAGAGATCCTAATCAACTCCAAATAGGAAATAGAATAATAGACATCCTAATTAACTCCAAATATGAAACAAATAATAGAAATCCTAATTAACTCCAAATGGGAAACAAATAATAGAAATCCTAATTCCTAATTAACTCCAAATAGGAAACAAATCAGGAAAGTTATAAAGAAATAAAAATTAATTAAATGGACCGCAACCAGCCCACGAAGGTGGGCTCAAGCCCGTCCCCGCCTTCAGTAAACCCACGGGGGCTTCTGCCCCTCTTCCTCCAAGCCCAGATTCTGCTTTATATCATACAATTAGTTAACACATGAACATAAGTTCAAATATGTAATATGTACTTCTTTTGTCCTTACAATCCACATACTTTCCTTTCTGGTCTGTCTGAAAATTATCCCCAATTTTCTTTTAAGGAAACATTATGTGATTCATATTATTTCTCTTTATAAATTTCAACCAAAAGGTTTTCTTTTTCTTAATCTCTGTGTCCGGTCAAACTGCATGACTATTCAGGGACAGAAGGAGCATCTATTATTGATATATTGTCGTGCAAAAAAGTTTTGTATCATCGTAACAATGAAACTACGTCATTTCGGCCAAAAAAGCAAAATTGAAAAAAAAACATAATACTCCCTCTGTATTTCAAAGATCTCTACAATAGGGTTGGGCACAACATTTAAGGGTGAAATAGTAGGGATAATGAATAGTGTAGAAAAAGTAGGAGAGAAGGTGTAAAAGTATGAAAGAGAAGATAAAAAGTAGGAAAACTAAGGGTAATTGAGTATTTTTAAAGGAAAAAACTTACCAAAAATGGAAAGTGTAGCAAACTTTTAAATACATCCAAAAAAAAGGAAAGTGTAGCAAACTTTAAAATACGGAGGGAGTATATGTGCCTGGATCCTGCCTTGGACCATCTAGATGGACAACTTTTTGAATATTGTAGATTACTTATGATTTTTAATCATTTAGCGAGTTATCATTGTCATTACAATTATATCTATCATTAGTATAAACTTTTGATTCTGGTTTTATATTCTATTCAGCAAAGCGGTTGAACCTGATCGTCTTTTTGAATGTCTTCCAAATTCAATGAGACCATCAGCGGAGTCACCTGGAGACCAGACCAGTGGCAAACACCCCTCATCCAGTAGTCATGCAGATCCAAATAACAATGTGACTGAAAATGCTGTGTACACACCACCAACCCTTATACCTCCAAGGGTTCTTCCTTTACTGCGTGATTTAGCACAGCAAATGATTCAAGCTGGTAACCAGCAGCAGTTACTAAAAGTATACAGGTAAATACTATAAAATCTCTACTTTTTGCCCCACGACTATTAGGTCATTTCCTTGTTAAGTCCATGTGTTTAATTTATTTCGATTCTTGATGTACTACTATGATATGGATGGAAGCAGTCTAGTTTCCTAATGGTATTATTAGTTGTAGTTTCCTATTAGTATAGATATTCTAGTTTAGTTAATTTACTAATAGAAGTATTGTAATACTAGACCACCAAGACTCTTGGACTAGTATAAATAGAGGTGCCATATTCATTAATTAGATCATCAATATTTTGGAGAAAAAAAAGAATGAAAAGAATGGTAGTTGGAAAAACAACACAGCTTCCCGCCCTAGGCAAGGAAGTGTCAGTCGGTTCCACCGAGCGCACAAGAGGAATTATTTCTCCAAAAGGTTGATGATCTTATTAATGAATATGGCACCTCTATTTATACTAGTCTAAGAGTATTACTATTAATGATATGAATGGAAGAAGCCTATTATTATTCATTATGATTATTAGTTTCCTTGAGTATTAGTGTTAGTTTCCTAATGTTATTAATTTTTATTAGTTGTAGTTTCCTATTAGTATAATATATTCTATTTCAGTTAATTTTCTAATAGAAGTATTGTAATACTTGACCACCAAGACTCTTGGACTAGTATAAATAGAGGTGCCATATTCATTAATAAGATCATCAATCTTTTGGAGAAATAATTCTTCTTGTGCGCTCGGTGGAACCAACGGACACTTCCTTGCCTAAAGCGGGAAGCTGTGTTGTTTTTCTAACTAACTACCATACTTTTCGTTCTTCTTTTTTCATCTCCCAACCACGCCTGTAACAAACTATTTCTTTTTTGTTGTCACTTTTGGTCCTTCTCAGTCAGTTATACGAGAAAATTAACCTGAATTTGTACAAAAATTGGCTGGATAAATGGTCAGAAGGTATCAAAAGTTGCAATGAATTCATAATCATGCACCAAGAAGGCAAGAACTGAAAAGATTACAGTCAGGAACTAAAAGTATGATTGACTTAGACCTAATAATCGTGAGAGGCCAAAAGTGGTTTTTTGTTTCAGTTTCACTAATTATTCTGAACAAAACCAGACCTTATCCAATGCAGGTTTAGATTGGTGATGTTTCTTCCAAACTGTATTAATCCATAAACCAAAACCGATCAAAATCAAGCTGAAGAAAAGGAACACAATAAAACCTTAATAAAAACCAAAGTTAAGTGAAGCAAACCCAAAAAAACTTATTTCGGGACTTATTTATCCAACTCATTATTAACAAAACCAAATCTAACATGAATTGCCCAACCCTAATTACAGTCTTGTAGATAGAAGTAGCACTATACTTTTCTTCCTACTTTAAACTATCCCAAGGTCATTTTAATTTCATTTCGTAGTTCCAGACTAATTTGTATGTCTTCCATATGGTGAATTAGGGATGCACGGTCTCCAGTTTTGGAAGAAAGCCTTCATAAGTTGGGTGTTGAAAAACTTAGCAAGGATGATGTACAGAAGATGCAATGGGAAGTTTTGGAAGCTAAAATTGGGAATTGGATTCATTTTATGCGAATTGCGGTAAGTTTTCTATCTATACTAATCCGGAAAATAAATGTTTTGTTCTTCCAAGATTTCCTTTGATTTTTGGTTCTACTATAATAGCTCATTCACAAAATTGATCCCTACTTTCATTTTTTCCACTTCTGATACACGACTATGGATTCCTTACAACTTTTGGTCCTCCCAAACACTTATCTGACCAATTTCCTGGTGATATTTGCCAAATAAGTGACATAAAGGACCAAAGTGGCAAGACATCCATAGTTGTGCACAAAAAAAGTGGAGAAGTGCATGACGAAAGGTGGGAATGACCTGATAGTCTTGGGACCAGGAGTGGAAATTTTCCATCTTCTCAACTACCTACTAACTACTGAACAGGTAAAATTGCTGTTTGCTGGTGAGCGTAAGGTTTGTGATCAAATTTTTGAAGGATTTGAGTCTATCAGAGATCAATGTTTTGCTGAAGTTACTGTTGGCAGTGTTGCTGTTCTACTCAGCTTTGGTGATGCAATTGCCAAAAGCAAGAGGTCACCTGAAAAACTGTTTGTGCTCCTTGATATGTACGAAATAATGCGCGAGCTTCACACAGAGGTCTTCAATAATATTTCTGAAAAAAGTCACATTTCATTTGTATTATAATAGGCTGATTGCATTAACATTTTTTTCTTTCTGATTTTCGGGGGAAAAAACCAAGGGTAGAGTAGGCTAGTTTATTCCAATTGCTACGAGTAAAGATTCAAGAGGAACATAAATAGGGAAATGCTAGTAGATAGATAGGGTAGAATTTTGTCCTGTTTGGTAAGAGAGAATTGAAGAAGAAATGTGTAGAAATTTAAAGGAGACCTGTTTCTTTCACATTTCTCTCCATTAGACTAAGTAATGGAGTAGGTGGGACCCGTCATTTTCGTACTTCTTCTCACCCAAATAAGTGAAATGTCCCATCTCCTATACTTTTTCCTTAACTATTTATTTCCCTCCTTCACGTCAACCAAAGTGAAGACTAAGTGTTCACGAGTCTTCATCCACACCCAATGTAACCTGCATCCAAACATACATAAAAAAATGAAAATCAATGTAATATCTTTTGAAAGATATAAAATTGCAAAATTGCTTCTATAGTTGTAATTTTCCTATATCAGTCAGAACATTTTGAAGGCTTGTGTAATTAGAGATAGTTTAAGTCTTCCGTTGCTGGTTATGCTTCTTTAACTGTGTTCATTTATGCACACGAAGTTATGAAAATATGAATCTTTTGCAGATTGAAGAACTATTCAGGGGCAAGGCTTGCAATGAAATTAGAGAATCTGCCTTTGGCTTGACTAAACGTCTTGCACAAACAGCCCAAGAGACCTTCAGTGATTTTGAAGAAGCTGTTGAAAAAGATGCAACTAAAACTGCAGTTTCAGATGGAACTGTCCATCCATTAACCAGCTATGTGATCAATTATGTAAAGTTCCTTTTCGAGTAAGTTAGAAGAAGAAGAATAGACCTACAAGCCTAACCAATGCTTAATTATTGATTATTATAAATTTGTTTGCTGACTTTTTTTGTCCCAGTTATCAATCAACATTGAAGCAGCTATTCCAAGAATTTGAAAACGGGGAGGACTCAAGTTCTCAGCTAGCTTCTGTAACAATGCGAATAATGCAAGCTCTCCAAATAAATTTGGATGGGAAATCTAAGCAGTATAAAGATCCTGCTCTTACTCACCTCTTCCTTATGAACAATATTCACTATATGGTCAGATCTGTCCGCAGGTTGTGTTTTCCTTGCACATTTAAACTTACATTTTTTGTACATCATAGCAATGCTGCAATCTATATTTTACATAACCTGGATATAGATTGACACCCTCTAAATGTGAATTAGTATTACATTCTTAAGGTTATGTCATAATGACTAGTAAACCTTGTATTTTTAAAAGCCAAGAGCTTTGATTATTCTCGCAACTACCTTCCGTCAATTTTATATCCTTTGACTCCATATAAATATGTAATTTAATGAATGTTGTTCAAAACATTTGCTCTTACGTAAAAAGATTTACCCTTCACGAATATAGGTTAGATGAGCGTATGACTGGAGGCATATGTATGGAGGATTGGTCTTATATTGTTTATCTCCCACTTTCTCTATCTAATGTTTTTAACTCTGATATCATATAGATGATTCATGTTAGCCGACCCCAAACTCTTTTGGGATTAAGGCTTGGTTGTTGTTTTGTTGATTATAGGTCATGACTGCATCTTGTTATTCCTCTGTCTTTGCTAATACTCACGGAAGTAATGTCTTTGAGATCGGCCAGCATGACTCTTAATGATAAAGGAAAAGTGTTTTTTGACTTTGAAGTGATGAAATTTTAGATGATTGGTAATAGATTTGAAAGTTATATGAAGTCAAGTGAGGCATTTATAGATGGAAGGGCAAGTTGTCAGAATATTTAGGGTAAATAATGAACTTTTAAAAATACAGGGCTGCATTTGTAAATATAGCCTATTCTCAAGGGGTAACTGTTGTTTCCCTTATTCTAATGGAGTGATAGGGACCTACCTAGTATATGAATAATAGAAAGAATAATAATAATAGTTGTAATAAGAATAATATTAGTAATAAGGGTCTATCAGTATGTTTAGTATAAATAGACGGGAAGGGGGAGTGGTAAGAAGGCTTTTGGACATTCTGTCTTGGGACTGGGAAAGATCGGAGAATAATTCTCTCTATCTTTTGGGGGCTTCGGCTCATTTGGGAGGCTTTGGCCTTGGATTACTGTACTGTTCATCTTCTTCTCTAATAAAATCAGTTTGATTTCTTATTCTCTTTCTGGAATTTGTTCTGGAATCTTGGGGTTTCTATCATTGGTATCAGAGCCTCTTCCTTCCTGGAGCGATGGAAGAATTCTGGACACCAGAAATGGAGGAACGTCTGACAGAGATAGAGAAAAAAATCAATAGAAATCAGAAGGAATTAAATGCGAAATTCGAAAAATGGAATGCGAAGTACGAGGAAGTGAGGGCGATGATGCAGGCTGGATTTGCGGAGATTAAGAACCAGGAAAAAAATCGATCCAGAAGTAGGTCGCACACCTCAGAAGCATCGTATCGCTCATCTGCTTCGCATCGCAAATCGCGAAACAGTTCGCAGAAGGAATCGCGAACTGTTTCTTCTAGTTGGCAATCGCGAATTTCTTCTCAACCATGGCAATCGCGAAATTGTTCTCAACCATCGCAGTCGCTCACCAGATGGCAGAAGGAGTCGCGAACTTCGCTATCGCGAACCTCTTTTCACTGTTCACAATCGCGAACAGTTTCTCTCCCTTCGCAGACTGATTCAGCGGCTACTACTTCAAGTCCACGAAAGATGCTGTTGAGAGAAGAATACCCATATCCACCACCAAGCGATCATCATTATTCGTTTTCTTCGTCTGTAGTTGCTCCTCTGAGTTCGCAAGGTTCATCTGGAATAGAAGTTCTCAATTCTCAGATTTATTCCCGAGCCTATTTTTCATCTCCTAGGGAGGAGAAGTCCACTGAGGGCAAAGATGAAAGCGAGAAGAATAAATCAGTGACCGATGGACCTGAAGTTGGTGATAATGATCGAGTTTTCCAATGCGAACCTGTCAAGAGTTTTCAGAATCTCTTTAAGGGTCTCTTAACCAATGCAGTAACAAAAGTTGACAAGGTCAGGGGGTTATCAAAAATTGGTATTATTTTTGTAGATGGAGATGTAGGTCGTAAGATGCAGTCTCATAGGGTAATTGATAGTTCAGAGAACAAGATTCTCTGGAAAAGATATGAGCATTGGAACAGGGGTAACATGGTTCACCAACTTACTAATAGAAGAAGGATGGAGAAATACATTATGGATGCTGACAATCAGGGCCAAGAAATTAGGAGTGAAGATGTGGTATCATTCCTGGGTGTCTTAGCAAAACAAATGTGGAAGAATGATCCACATATAAATGCAATTGAAGGTTCAATCTGCACTCACACCATTGTTAAACCTAGGAAGGCAGTTAAAAAGGACAGTTTCCTACTTTATGCAAATTGGGACTCCTCTAAGTATAGACTGAAAAGGGCTGTTGAGTTTACTGTTGAATATCAGTCGGATAATATCAGTGTGGTCCTGGATCCTAATACTCAGACTATTGTCATGGGATTGGAAGCTGAAGCAAATTTTCAACCTTACAAGATGATCTTAGGCTCCAATGATCCAGAAATGAACTGTTCCACTTGTGTTCTTGTAAGGGAAACCAAGCTAAATGAAGTTGTTGGAATTATAGAAAGGGATTCCTACTTGATGGGAAAAATAGTTATAGTTATACCTCAGTATCAAGGTGCTGGTTATCAATGTGCAGCTCTTTCCTTGCTTGGCAATACCCCAGTATACATCCGGCAGTACATGGCATCAGGATCCAGAGTGGTTGTGGGGTTTGTAAGCTGCCAGACATATTTGGAAAGGTTCATGGTCACGCAATCAGTTCGATATTGGGAAGGGAGAGGAACAAGGAAGAGGAAGAGGAAGCAGAGGATTTTGGCTTTCTCCTATTACCCACCTTGAGGACAAGGTGGATGTTTTGGGGGGAAGTATTGATAGGGACCTACCTAGTAGATGAATAATAGAAAGAATAATAATAATAGTTGTAATAAGAATAATATTAGTAATAAGGGTCTATTAGTATGTTTAGTATAAATAGACGGGAAGGGGGAGTGGTAAGAAGGCTTTTGGACATTCTGTCTTGGGACTGGGAAAGATCGGAGAATAATTCTCTCTATCTTTTGGGGGCTTCGGCTCATTTGGGAGGCTTTGGACTTGGATTACTGTACTGTTCATCTTCTTCTCTAATAAAATCAGTTTGATTTCTTATTCTCTTTCTGGAATTTGTTCTGGAATCTTGGGGTTTCTATCATGGAGGGATTAGATGGCCTTTACCTTTGGAAGTTGAACAAATAATTTTTTTATCACCATTGTAATTATTTATGCATTGCTTTTAGGTCTGAAGCCAAGGACCTTCTAGGGGATGATTGGGTGCAAAGACACCGACGAGTTGTCCAACAGCATGCAAATCAATATAAGAGGATTGCTTGGGCAAAGGTAGTTTATTCATTCTATTTGTTCTGAACTCGTGCTTCTGTTAAGAGCAGTATATAATTCTTTTTAAATGATGTTTCCACTTCGTAGATATTGCAATCTTTATCCATACAAGGCCTAACATCATCCGGGGGAAGTGGTTCAGTCGGGGCAGATGGACAAGGCAGTAGTGGAGCTTCACGAGCAGTTGTAAAAGAAAGGTTCTTTAGCCCTTGTTTGGTTGCAGGATGGTGGAGGATATGGAAGGGATGAGGATGGGAATGGGTGCTATTTATTTTATTGATTTATTTATTTTTGACATTAGATGATTAGGAAAGAAGGGGATGGGGATGAGGATGGGCAATATTTATTTTAATTGATTTATTTATTTTTGACATTAGATGGTTATGAAGAAAGCGAAAGATATAAAACTATATAGAATAACATTATTTAAATACACACACAATGTATATTTGTATATATATACGGAGTATATATATAGGAAAAAGATCACCTCCGGTAGCTCTGACGAGAACTACCGCGCGAACTTGTCTTTTTGAGGTGCTTCCGGGTGGAATTTTTAATGAAAGTTGTGAGCATGTCCACAAAATTTCAGCTTCAAATTCAATCGGGAAGGCAGTTAAATAATTTATTGAAAAACATTTTTTTGTACACATTTTGGCGCAGTGTGTTTTAATTATTTAATTAATCGACTTCCGATTGGATTTGAAGCTGAAAATTTGTGGACAATAATCTACATTCATCAAGAACATGCTCATAATATTTCATCAAAAAATTCACCCCAAGCACCTCAAATGAACAAGTTCAGATGGCAGTTCATGTCAGCTGAAAGGATCATTACTCTCTCTATATATATAAGTTCAAATAAAAAGAAAAATGAGTCTTAAATGTGTAAAATAAGAATTAATCTCAGCCGTCCAAACTTTCAATGTGATGCACTTTTCTAATAAACCTTATCTGATGCACTTTTCCAACATCTAGACGCGGTGGCGTTTATGGAAAAGGTTTATTGTGCATTTGTGCATCAGATTGACTCTTTGGACGTCTGAGATTAATTCTTATTTTACACTTGACAATTTTTTATTTGATCCAGAGTCTCTCTCTCTCTCTCTCTCTCTGACTTTAAATGGTGGTACTAAGATTACTCTTATTTTCAACAGATTGAGGATATTCAATTCACAGTTTGAGGAACTACATCAAAAACAAACTCAATGGACAGTCCCAGACACAGAGTTACGAGAGTCTCTGAGGCTTGCAGTTGCAGAAGTATTACTGCCTGCATACAGATCTTTCATTAAACGCTATGGGTATGTTTTGTTGTGCTTGCTTAAAGCCCATTGGGCGGGAATGAACTTACCCTGAATTTTCTGATAGTGTCATAGGGATGGCTTGTTTTGGATGAACAATCTACAACTGCAGTACTTGAAAATAGCTTGTTAGGTCTGTTTGGTTTAGGTTGGGTTAGTTTTGAAAAATGCAAAACTGAAAATCAAACATAATAATAATATCTTAATTTGGTTTCAGTTGGATTTTTTCAGTTTCTGTTGGTTTTAGTCGATTTCGGTTGGGTCAGTTGATTTTCAATGCCTAAACGGCTAAACGTTAAATCGCACACTAATTCTGCCCTTTTTAAGTTTTGGTTGGGTAATTGGGTTGTTGGCCGGTTTCAGTTTGGTGGTTTATTTTGTTCATTCCTAGGTGGAGGTTTGATTTATATATATCCATTATATGTGGTATGCTTTTTAGCAGCCGGTTCAAGTAATGCAGACCTGCAGTCAAAAAAAATTGAAAAACCCATATTTATAAATTTGGAAAGATATGACTTTGGTTATTGTAATAATTGTTGCACGAAATTGACGCTTATATATACGGAGTATGCATTTGGTTTGTGCTTGTTGGAAAGTCATATATGTTCCTATTAAGTTCACCTCTCTTCTGCAAAGTTGCTACCTTGGGGGAAGTAAAAAAAATTACATTCTTAACTCTACAGGCCTTTGGTTGATAATGGCAAGAGCCTACAGAAGTACATCAGATTCACTGCAGACGATCTTGAGCACATGCTTGGCGAATTCTTTGAGGGTAAGGCGGCGGTCAATGATCCAAAACGCTAAGTTGTGGTGCAAATAGAGGCTATGAACTGTTCGCTTATACCCGGATTTGTGAATGGCTCTCATTGTATCACTCGGCTTTTTCTTCACCGAGTTGGTTGAAGCTCTTTACATTCAGAATGACATTTGTATAATTTATTTATTAATTTATTTAATTCATAATGGTTTATGTAGTTATTAACTTATTATTAACCCTAGATATCTCATAACTGTCAAGTTTATAATGGCCTTTCGGCTAGTTAGTAATAATAATGGAAAAGTTTTGTATGCTGTGAGAGCATGAGGGGTGGCACCGGCCCTGGGTTGCACTTTTTGGGATCAAGACTGAGGCCCCGTTTACTTGTGACTTAATGGGCTTGATGGGAGTGATGACTTAATCGGTAAGGTATATAGCTCTGTTTACTTTGGGCTTAATTTAAAAAATGGGCCAGGGTCACTTCGAATTAATTAGTGTGTACTTCAAAATCTTAAATTGTCATTCAAAAATCTCAATGGCTGAATTAAAATATTTTTCGAAGAGCTGGCAGCTGTTTGTACATTTAATGAGTGTACTATAAAATCTTTGGAAAAGATTTTGTTAATGGACCAATGGTCAATAACATTTTGTTTTTGAGAAGCCACACCACACCATTCACCACCGATAAATACACTAGAAATGGGTTTCAAACCACACCACCACCAAGTAATTCACAAGTAAAACAAGCACCCCATCTGCTCCAATGGCATGTTCATCAACCCAGACCGGAATGTGGTCCCTGATCAAAGAATTGATCACACAAAGACCACCTGAGCTTTGAGGGTAAGAGTTGTGCGAGTTTACGAGGTGCCTCCCCATTCCAAGGGTGGAGAGACCCTTGAGATGGTGTTGCATGATGCAGAGGTAAAGGTCTAAAAGCTTTATGCTCACAACTACATGTTTACAAAGAAATTAATTTTTTACAAATTTCTTTATAGGGCGATCGAATTCACGCAACTGTAAAGAGGCCGCAGTTGGCAATGTATAGACCATTGATCAAAGAACACCAAGTGTACACACTTAGGAACTTTTTTGTGTTAGACAACTAGCAGACGGTGAAAACAACTCCACATCCTTATTTAATCCAGTTCATAAGCAAGACTGCATTCAAGGAAGACAAGACTGTACTACCTATGTTTTTGTTTGACTTCCAACATTTTGGGTTGCTTCAAGAGCATAGGGTGATCGATGACAGACATCTCATTGGTAGGGGTATTTATTTCATTAAATGTTCTTGCCTCAACATAAAGTACTAAATATGTTGAATTTTTACATTGCAGATGTGATCGATAAGGTCATATGCAGAAGCATGGTTCAGACACACATCATCAATGGAAAGGCTGAAAGACTGATGGAGCTAACGTTGGGTGACCCTGAGTATGTTAATATTTTTTAAAAAAACGTATCCTAACACTGATAGTGAACCTTCAAAAGGGTTTTGATGATCCATAACTTTGCATTCTTATCTACATAATAACAGGGGCAACAGACTTGGTTGTGTGCTGTGGAATAAATATATAACCTAGTACATGGATTACGCTACTCAGCATCTTGATGAAGCAGTTTATATAATATTTCAGCTTTGCAGGCCCAAAAGATATCAGGGTATGAACAATTTTCTTCTATTATTTTGTTTTAGCAGAACGTTTTTTTTCCGACTAAAACAATTGCAAATTTTAGGTGCCCTATCTGTGTCATCTTCTTTTGATGTGTCAAAACTGATCATTAATGGCACAACGTCGGAGTTCCTGGACTTCATAAGCGAGTAAGCCTCTAACTTTATTCAACACTAAAGTCCGAATATGGAAATAGCTTCTAACATTCTAATGGTCAGATTTCCGGGTGACAGTGATGACGATATGACGGTAACGACTGTTACACAAACCACACAAGGTGATGAAAATGGGGATGATATCCTAAGTGGGCATGCAAACATAACAACAATGAATGCTTTGCTTAATGCAACTGAGGTGATGGCAGTCTAAGAATGGAATTCACTAACTTTTTCAAAGATTCGTAGAAAAATGGTGTTTACATGTGTGTGTTTTAACATACATGAAAGGTTTTACTGGGTGCTTGGGGACATAGTCTCCATAGAAAATTTCCGGGAATGGTGTAACCTTGGCTGCCCAACTTGCAACAAGAAATTGAAACCTGAGGAACAAAGATTCAGGTGTTCTAATTGCAACGATACCCTTGCTGAGGGAGTTTATCGGTGGGTAAATGCTTCATGCCAGCTTATACACTTTGTACAACTTAGAGTTGCTAAAGTTTTAACACGAAAACATTACAGCTACAAGGTCAGCATTTGTCTCATGGACAATACAGGACATACTCCATTTACGCTGTGGGACAGAGAATGTATAGATTTCTTTGGGAAAACATCAGGAACCTTAATGCTTGAATTGGAGAAGGTATCTTTAAAAATAACTGATTTCAATGCTTTTGTTTATTAATTCCGAAACTTGATCAATTTAATTTTTCGAAAACAGAAAGCTGGAGATACAACATGGTTTCCAGAAGAGATTGAGAGTTTGATTGACCAAAAAGCACTTTTTAGAATTCAGATAAAGAAAAGATCTGAGGAAAATACTTACAAGGGAACTTTTTGTAAGGGAATTGTATCAATGATTCAGACTGCCTCTGTTGTTGCATTGTACGTAGAGGATGAGAAGGAACAAACAGTCAAAGAGGATACGTCCCCGGAGAAGGTAAAAAAAATACATAAATGTGAGACAGTTTCGGTTCGCAAAGTAGACAGTGAACATCAAAAGTACTTAATAACCAGGTTGGCTCAAGCGCAAGCATTGGCGAAAAGATAGCGAGGAAGGGTAAACTTGTTTCAACTAAGAAAGAGGTATAAACTTAAATCTATTTTACAAATGCTAGGCTAGGGTTTTGGGTGTACCATTCTAACAGTTTTTTAAAAACCAGAACCGTTCTCCTATTGACCTATCAGATACTCCACTAGAATGCACGCAGAGGGAGGTTGAGGTTGAACTGACTGACGAAATCAAACATAATCTGAACGATGAGTTTTCTACCAATGGAAAAGTGAAGAAGCTCAAGATGAAAATCAAGCAGGAACCGGGTGTTTAGGGAAACTAAGGAGTGATTTGCTAAGACATTGTTTAAAAAATCTCTTTTGCTGTGTTATGGTTGTGTGTGCCTAAACTACTATTTTGGATGTGTTCAAACACTAGCACAAAGACACACTGCGAAGTTGGGATGAAAGACTGTTTGTTGCTTTATTTATCTATGTTTTGTGCCCAGATTTGTTCATTGAACAAATCCTACTGGGTTTACAGGGTCCTATGTGTATGGCTATTGATTAAATTTGCAGGTTTATGAAATTGAAGTGTTCTACAAAAAACAGGGAGGCAAACTAATGATGTTTGTAAATAAAAAGGGAATCGATTTCTTATCACGGTTTTTGATACAATTTTAACTGTTTTTCAGGTAAATAATGTTCAGCCAGAAATGAACGTAGTAGGATTCCTGGAGCAACCACGGTTGAAGTATAGGAAAAAGAGATACGAAGTTGTGCATTGTTTAACTAGATTACTTATATGAATTACAATTGTATTAGGGATTTTTTGTACCTACTTTAGAATTTCTGAACAAAATACGTGCATCCGGAGTTCCAAACCATGAGTTAACCCTAAAGGTTGGTACTCCAATCATGCTTTTAAGGAATATTGATCCTTCAATGGGGCTTTGCAATGGAACAAGGTTAATTGTTACGCGACTTGGAAATCATATCCTAGGGGCAAAAATAATGGGCGGAAAATATGTCGGGCATGAGGTTGTCATTCCGAGGTTAAGCTTAACTCCTTCGGATACAAGAATACCGTTCAAGTTTCAGAGAAGACAGTTTCCAGTCATGACCTCTTATGCAATGACTATAAATAAGAGTCAGGGACAATCTTTCTCTCATGATAGACTCTTATTGAACAAATCGGTCTTCACGCATGGTCAATTGTATGTTGCAGTGTCAAGGGTAACAAATCCCAAGGGTTTGAAGATATTGATCTGCGGTGAAGATGGTCGGTCAACTGACCATACCACCAATGTAGTTTATAAGGAAGTGTTTCACAATGTGTAGATTGTGAACCCCTATGTAGCATTTACTTGTATCTACTTATTCTAAAACATACTTACTACCAATCTCTGAGTTCTCACTATCCGATCTTTAATGCTAATTTTTTCTGCATGTCACGTCTATAACAATTTCCATACATTTAACACGACCGAGTAAATTTATCAAGTATTGTCGCATCGCTATTACATTTAATATCCCGCACATCGCGCGGGTGAGAATCTAGTATATGTAAACTGATGGACTTCACCAACAACACCAAACTAGCCCAGGGAAGCCATTTTACCCATTGTTTGGGTTTTGTTCCTGATAGACACCTCAGATACGTCTCCAAACACATGTTGAAAATTTCAGTTTTTCCATCACTTTCAGGATGATAGGCAGTGCTATATTTAAGCTTGGTTCCAGCTAGTTTGAACATTTCAGACCAAAATGAGCTTAGAAATAGGGTGTCCCTGTCACTAACTATGGATCTGGGAAATCCATGAGTCTTAACCACCTCCTGAACAAACACTTCTGCCACTCATTTGGCATTAAAAGGATGTGCCAAGGGTATGAAGTGAGAAAACTTTGTCAGCTATCCACAACAACCAAAATGGTATCCTTACCCTGTGACTTTGGTAAACCCCCAATAAAATCCATGCTAATATCAGTCCAAATCCTGTCTGGTATGGGTAAAGGTTGCAGTAGCCCTGCAGGTTTCAAAGCTTGATACTCGTTCCTCTGGCAAATATTACATCCCATAATGTAATCTTTATTGTCGGCTTTCATCCCTTCCCAAAAGAATAAACTGGAAATCTTCTTCATAGTCCTGAAATACCCAGAATTTCTTTTCTTAATATGTGTGAAGTCAAAACCGGAACTTCTTTATGAATCGGAGGGAGTACATAATAGGGCCTCTAAATTCTCAAGATCCAAAGTTTTACATATATAGTCTATAATGTACAAAATGCTATGTAATTTGTTTATAGATTCTTATTCCAGTATTGTTTGAATTACAAACAATAAAAAGTCATATTTATTTATAATTTGATAGGTAACTATCGATCACAGACAACAATATTAATGGAATCAAGCTCAAGAGAAAGATGAAAGTTTATTAATGGCAGAAATGTGTTACAAAACAGCCAAAGATAGAGATAGAACTCTAACTTCCCAGTCAAGACATTGAGTCTGAACAAGCCTGCCTATTCCCGCAACATAGACTACTATTTATATCCTTCCCTAAAAGGAAGGTAGTTATTAGTTATCTAACAACTTTAACTAATAACAAGATTAGTCTATTTGGACCTTCTACAATACACTTGGCCAAATCTACCCCCACCACTTAGACTAGTAACCGGGTTCCTATCAATACCCCTTCCTTGAATGACCAACTTGTCCTCAAGTTGGAATTCTGGGAATTGCTCTTGGATAACCTGCACCTCCTCCCATGAGTCCTCAAAATCTGGAAGATCCTTTCAGTGCACCCGTATCTCCTTCCTCCCTTCTTGATTAATCCTGCTCTTCCTCACAACTTCAGGACTCATTTGCAGTTCACAATCTTCTGTGAGGCAACTGTGGAGGTTTTGGAAATTCACATTAGGTTTCAACACTTTCTTCAGTAAAGATATATGGAATACAGGATGTATTCTACTCCCTGGTGGCAATTTCAGTCTGAAAGCTACATCATTCAACTTATCCACAATTTCATAAGGCCCATAGAACCTTGGACTGAGCTTCTGATTAACCTTCTTAACCAGACTCCTCATCTTGTATGGTTGAATTTTCAGAAATACCATATCCCCTACTTCCAGCTTTACTTCCCTCATGTGCTTATTAGCCTGTTGCTTCATCAAATTCTGAGCTTTAGCTAAATTTTCTTTTAACTCATCCAACATCAAGTTTCTTTCATTAGTTAACCTGGCCACCTCTTCTACTGCAGTTAAACTCACATCCCCTCTCAAGATTAGGGGTGGTGCATGTCCAAACAAAGCTTGATAAGGGGTACTCTTCAATGAGCTATGGTAGTTAGTATTGAACCAATACTCTTCCCGGGAAAGCCATTTTACCCATTGTTTGGGTTTTGTTCCTGATAGACACCTCAGATATTTCTCCAAACACCTGTTGCCAATTTCAGTTTGTCCATCACTTTCAGGATGATAGGCAATGCTATATTTAAGCTTGGTTCCAGCTAGTTTGAACATTTCAAACCAAAATGAGCTTAGAAATAGGTTGTCCCCGTCACTAACTATGGATCTGGGAAATTCATGAGTTTTTACCACCTCCCGAACAAACACTTCTGCCACTCCTTTAGCATTAAAAGGATGTGCAAAGGGTATGAAGTGAGAAAACTTTGTCAGCCTATCCACAACCATCAAAATGGTATCCTTACCCTGTGACTTTGGTAAACCTCCTAATAAAATCCATGCTAATATCAGTCCAAATCCTGTCTGGTATGGGTAAAGGTTGCAGTAGCCCTACAGGTTTCAAAGCTTGATACTTGTTCCTCTGGAAAATATCACATCCCATAATGTAATCTTTAATGTCAGCTTTCATCCCTTCCTAAAAGAATAAACTGGAAATCCTCTTCATAGTCCTGAAATACCCAGAATGACCCCCACAGTTGTGTCATGGTATTCCTTTAGGATAGATAGTATTCTGGGGTTTCCTTTAGGTAATACCAACCTTTCCTTGTAATAAAGTAGCCCACCTTTCATTCTGTAACCTCTGCATTGTTCAGGTTGTATCATATTCTTGTGCAAAATTTCACCACACTTATGATCCTTCTGTAATTCATCTGCCAATCCTTCCCATTCATGACAAGTAACTGTGGATAGGGCTGCATAGGATGACTTCCTTGAAAGAGCATCAACTGCTTTATTCTCTATACCCGGTTTGTACCTTATTGTAAAATTATAACCTAAGAGCTTAGATATCCATCTTTGTTGGTCTTCACCCATCACCTTCTGCTCAGTTAAGTATTTCAAACTTCTCTTATCTGTATGTATTTCAAACAATTTGCCTAATAAATATGGCCTCCACTTTTGTATAGCAAACACTATAGCCATCAGCTCCTTCTCACAAATGGATTTGGTGAGATGCTTGGGTGACATCTCTTTACTCATGTATGCAATGGGGCCTCCATCTTGCATAAGTACAACACCCAATCCCTTGCCAGATGCATCAGTTTCTATGATAAAAAGCTTGTCGAAATCAGGAACTCTTAGAACAGGTAAAGTGGTCATGGCTTGTTTCAAATCCCTGAAGTCTTGAGTAGCTAGTTCAGTCCATTTAAAACCATCTTTCTTCAATAGATTTGTCAAAGGTGCAACAATTTTGCTGCAGCCTTTCACAAACCTCCTGTAGTAACCTGTGAGCCCTAAAAATCCCCTTAAGTCTTTCAGATCTTTAGGAATTGCCCAGTTCTGCATAGCCATTATCTTCTCTGGATCAGCTGATACACCATTGGCTGAGATGATGTGCCCAAGGTAACTCAGTTTCTCTTGACCAAAAAAACACTTTTTGAGATTTGCTACCAATTGATTCTCTCTTAAAGCTTCCAACACCAATTTCAAATGCTCTTCATGATCTGCCTTGGTTTTACTGTAAACCAAGATGTCATAAAAAAATACTAGCGCAATCTTCCTCAATAATGGCCTCAGAACTTCATTCATAAGTGACTGAAAGGTGGATGGTGCATTAGTTAACCCGGAGGGCATAACTAGGTACTCATAGTGACCCTCATGGGTCCTAAAAGCTGTCTTGTGAGTATCTTCTACCTTCATTCTAATCTGGTTATAACCAGACTTAAGATCCAATTTAGAAAAAATTCTTGCTCCACCCAACTCATCAAGTAATTCTTCTATCACCGGAATAGGAAACTTGTCAGGTATACTAACCTTATTTAGTGTCCTGTAGTCCCCATAGAACCTCCAGCCCCCATCCTTCTTCTTGGCTAACAAAATAGGACTACTATAAGGACTATTACTATGCTTAATGATCCCAGACTTCAACATTTCTTCAATTATCTTCTCTATTTCATCTTTTTTGGTCAAAAGAGTACCTGTAAGGCCTGATATTTGGAATCTGTGCTCCTTCTTTTATACTCCCTCTGTCTCCGAAAGAAGTTCCCAGTCACTATTCATTGGTCAACTTGAGTCACTCCTAATCATTTACTTTATATATCAAATTTTTATCAAACTTAAATTTTCTTGATCAAGCTTTAT